TGGTCAAATGCTGCATCAACCTGTTTATTAGTCCAGACGCCCTTCCAGGTTTTCAACTAAACTGGATAGAAGTGGAGCCACAGAATGGTTTTTTCCAACTTCTTATTTTATTGAGGCTCTTTTACCAGTGACTTTGAGGTCATGTCCACCTTTTATTTCCATTTTTACTCATGACTCCCTTTCGGGTTTTCACCATGCCCGATTTTCTATTTTTAGAACACTTTGACTCATGGCTTCATGACTATGCACATCCTTCATTTTTACTCATGGTGCCCTTTCGGGTTTTCGCCATGCCTAATTTTTATTTTTGACAATCTTACCCATAGCTTCGTGGCTATGTCCGCCTGAAGCTCTCACTTTTACTCACAATGATCCTCGTCGGATGCTCAACATGCCATGCTTCTTTCTTTTTAAGAGAAAACCTCCTCCCTGCTGATGCACAAGATAAATGAGTTATAACTATACAAGGCTCATTGGGGCAATGGATACCACGAGTGAGGCTTTTATCAGGAAGGTGAACACCATTGGAGATGTCTTTGGGTTGTGCAAGGTGATGAATGACTCACACTTGCTGTGTATGGGGGTTTTAAGTGGACAAGTAAATAACGGATGCATGAAAATTTTCTTGGGGATAACATGTGTTTTCAAGGTAAAGAAATGGTTACCTTTATGAGGGTTGAAAGGCTCCATTCGGTGATGAAGGTATAACATGTTCCAGAGACTGGGTCCCTCGTTTTGCATACCACATGTTTGATCAAATGCTTGAATGCCTCTTTCTAGTGTAACCTTGATGATCTTTTTGTGCATCTCTTGATCATGTCTAGTGCATCTTGCATCCTCATGCATTATCTCAAGCAATGTTGGTTTATTTTGTATCAACTTTGAACATCACGAATATGTCTTAAGCACCATGAACCCCTCGGTTATGCTCATTATGAATCAATACCGTGACCAACTCTTCGAGCGCCACGAAAAAAAATTTGTTGAGCACCATGATTATCACAAACATGTTAGTCCCATCATGAACCATTTGAAGCTTCATGATTATCTCTTTGAAACCTCATGAGCGTATTCGAATTTTATGAAAACATCACCATCATGTTGGGATATCATGAGCATACTCGGTTATCACGCACATCACTACGCAATATATGAATAATGGCTGGTCATCACACCGCTTTGGAGTGTCATGATCTTCACAAAATATGTTCGTTATGAACATTCTTTAGAAGTCCTGTGAACATTTTTTATCTTTACGAATATCTTTGAGCATCGCTAACATGCCCAAGAATCAGAAACATCCTCGGGCATCACAAAAATTGCCTTCAGTACCATAAGCACATTGAATTTTTACAACCATTGCTTGGACTGATATGAGCATGTTTTTGAACTGCACGGATACGTTCTTTGAGTACTTCTGACATGTTTAAATACCGCAAATATTTTCTGAGCACCGTGTGACCTCATGGATACCTTCTTGAATCATTGTCAATGCCCATGAACACCCTGAATGTACTTCACTGAACACTCTAAAGATGTTTCTTGAGCATTCTCCAAATGTGCTCTTTCAAGCACGAAAATTTTTGTGAACGTCATGACCACCTTGAAGTGAATCTTTATATTCCCATGTAACTTTTCTCACTTTCTCATATGCTTTTATGCATGCTTTAGCATCCCCGGCATTCTTGCGGCATCTTCGCGCACCTTTTGCGTTTCAAGTGCCTTTTTGCATCGTGATTTGGCATTTTTAGCACCTCCGCTGCATAGTTATGTATCTTAAAATTCCCCTGATCACTTTTATGCATTTTCATGCATCTTATGCTGTAGTTAAGCATAGTCGAGCATTGTTATGCACCGTAATGCATCTTTTGAGCACTTCCATGCATAGTTATGTACTTTTGAGCACTCTCATGCATTTCTTAAGCATTTTCATGTGTAGTTATGATTTTTCGAGCATTTTTATGCATTTCTAAGCTATGCATATTTTAGCATTCTTGGGTACTTCTATGATAGAAAAAGGAGCTCTTCAGGGTCACTTTTTGTGATGGACATTTGAACCACATCCTTGTGATTTCTTAGAATCTCCGGGATGCTTTGGACTAACCAAACACCTTCTTTGTCAAACCTCTGCATATAGAGGAGATGCTATTGAAATTTTGCAAAAATTTCTGATGCTTTTCCTTTTCTTCTTTCACTTAAAAACTCATTGTTCTGAATTGTCATCTTTGCTCACTTGTTCACTTCTTTCTTTTATGCCTCTTTTGCAGTCACCTACCCTCGTAGAATGAACACTCGAAGCTCAAGTAGGGCTTTAACTCTTTGGAATGAGAGAAACCGAATGGATAACCAAACTTCAGAAAAGGCTATTATTATCTCTAATGATCCTAACGAGGTGGTCCCTCTAGCAGTTCAAATAGGAATATAAAGGAGTTCTACCCCTATTACGCGAGAGGAACCTAACAAAGGCCCAGCTTTTATGGTTGCCTCTTAGTCGGGGCAAGTTCTTAACCCTCTTGACTAGCGCACCCGTGGAGGACTTGCCATAGAGCAAGTAAGACTATTCTTTCTTGATCAGGTCAAGAGACTCAACCGCCATAGTTCCAACTTCGGTAGTATGGACATAGGCATGATCTCCTCAGAGCTACTTATCAACTCTTTGGTAATGCTTCCTTCTCTGAGCTGACCATGTCCCCATTTTTTGTGAAAAAGCTGATGACGAATATCATAGATTTCAACGTCCCTGGTGCTGATTTATCAAAGGGGAAACTGGAACTGACAGATCACTGGGCTAGAGAGGTCTTGGAAGTAGCAGACCTGGCTTCTATTGAAAAGAACCCTTCTATTGCGTCCTTGCTTAGATTCTTTTATGGGCCTCGATTGATAATGGACTTTGCCTATGCGATTCCGAAAATGAGAGTCATTGCCATTCTGGGACGCAATATCCAAAAAATGGAGGGCTTGCTTATCTTGGCTCGCAAAGCAATGGAAGACCCATCATCACCCCAGCTTGACCATGGGGAATATCCTCCTATGGTCAGAAATATCGCCTATCTCAGGGTGGAAGCTCTGAAAGATAGGATAAAGAAGGTGCAACGAGACTACTACAGGCTTAGTCTTTTGAAAAACTAATTCCTCGACCATCCCCCCTTTAAAGTAAACAATCATGGCACCATCCATGTTGTAGACATAATTTCCTTTCTTTTCTAACTTATGTAAGGCGTAATGTTACAGCTGTGCAACCCTGTTTGTTTTATTTTATTTTTTCTCTTGTATCCAGAGGCCACAAACCTACAACTTGTGGTCTCCATTTTGCTAATTGTTTACGCCTTTCATTTGCCTCAATCGATGACTCTTTACTTTTGTAGTAAATGTTTCTATCTGTATTTTGAAGTAACAAGCATGCAACTTGTAACTTCTAATTTGCCATGGAATGAATGCTCTCTTCTTTCATCTTTAACCTATATACTTCTCTTGCTTTATGATTTGCCCTTTTCTCACTTTATGGTTTGTACCTTTCTCTTTACTTCATGGTTTGTATCTTCTTCTATCTCTTGTTACCAACCCTTGTCTCCTCTAAAAGGGGGTAAGAGATGAACCGAGAGGTCTGTTTCGTATGAAAGCATATCTGATCTCCACCATGTGTGATTTGAACGCCTTCTCGGGTTTTCATCGAAGTCCTTGGGGTAGGTGTCATTTTTGGTTTTCACAAGGACCCCATATATATATATATATAGATATGGGTGTGGTTTGTATAGAGCCTAGGCTCTAAACAATCAAATTAGAGCCTACCTTCAAATAGTGTCGAGAAATATGGTTTCAATATTGACAATCTTTGTGATGGCCTTAAAATATATTTCTATATTTATTTATAAAGTTTAAAGCATAAAAAATAGTGTAGAACGACAAATCTATGAAAACTTGAAAATCTTGAAAATTGATTGTAAAAAAATGCACTACAAAATACACTATTTTCAAAACTTGAAATCCATTTTTTTTCTCATGTCCATGCTTGTTGATGTCAAGATGATCAATTTGAAGATATTTGGGCATCAAAACAATCTATTCTAGTAAAATTTTTGAGGTAGGCTCAAATTTGATTGTTTAGAGCCTCGAGTCTATATAAACTTTTTCATATATATATATATATATATATATATATATTTATATTTATATTTATATACATATTGGCGCTTATATCATGTCTGTCATTTTTCCATTTTTACTCACGATGCCCTTGCGGGTTTTCATTGTGCCCATTTTTTTTTTTCTTTTATTTTGATATATTTTGCTCGCAATAGTTGATAATACTATTACGCCCGTCATTTTTTTTCCTTTTTTTTATTTTCTTTGAATTTTTTTACCCCTGACGCCCTTGCAGATTTTCGTCATGTTCATCTTTTTGAGGAGGTAATTTTAAGTCATGCCAACCTGACCATGGGGAGGCATGTTTAAGGTCATGCTGTTGTGACCGTCGATTTGGTGTATTTTAAGGTCATCCACCAAGACCTATTGAAGGCAAGTTTTGGGTTGTGCCGTCGAGGCTGTGTGTGATGTAGTTTAACTTCATGCAACCAAGATGTGTGCTATACAGTTTAAGGTCATGCGCCTTGGACCGTTGCCATGCTGTTTAAGGTCATGCGGCTTGGACCAACGCCACGCAGTTTAAAGTCGTGCCGCTTGGACCAATGCCATGCAGTTTAAGGTCGTACGGCTTGGACCATTGTCTATGAATAATACTTTTTCAAGTATCTCCGATTAATTGGGGGCATAGCTTCTTCATATTCAGCATTAACCAATACATATGCTCCATTAGGAAAATCCTTTTCCAACATGAATGGTCCTTCGCATTTTGGTTCGAACTTCCCCTTTGTTCTACCAAGTGTAATGAATGGTCTTCTTACTACCAGAACCATCTCTCCCTTAACAAATGAATGTAATCAGAGTGATTTAGCAAAGCCTTACAGCATACGGTTTTTGTGAATCTCAAGGCTTTGTTGTACCTACAATCTCTTTTCATCGAGGTCATCCAACTCTTGACAACGAATAATAGCTTGCTCCTTATTTGTCATCCTATCATGAAGGGCTATTCTGAGTGAGGGAAACTGAATTTCCAAAGGTAACACAACCTCACCCCCATATGCCAAAGAGTAGGGTGTTGACTGGGTTGGACCTCGAGCTGGAATACGAGAAGCCCATAAGACTTTAGGAAGTCTTTCATGCCAATCCCTTGTGGTGTTAGAAACGAACTTTCTTACTGTGTCACAAAGGGTCTTGTTCAAAGCTTCAACCAGGCCATTCGCTCCTAGATGGTTCACGGTCGAATACTTCCATTTAAACCGAAACTGGTTAACCAGGGGGTCAATGTGATGGCTTCCAAACTGAGGACCATTATTTGAAGTGATTCGATCAGGCACACCGAATCTATATATGATATGCTGGTGCACAAAATTGGCCACTGTAAGGCCGAGGACTTTCTTGAGAGGGATAACTTCAGCCCACTTAGAGAAGTAGTTTGTGGTAGCAAGTATAAAAACATGCCCCAAAGAAGGTGGGTCGATAGGACCTATAGTATCCATACCCCACTAAGAGAAAGGCCATGATGCTACTATCAAGTGAAGATGTTAAGGAGTTTGATGAATGAAGATTGAATGAATCTAGCACACCAGGAAATTTCTTACAAACATAAGTGAATCTGTGCTCATATGAGGCCAGTAATAGCCTATCCTGATGATGCTATTGTACAGCTTAGGGCCAAACTGATTCATCCCACAAACTTCAGCATGAACTTCCTTGAGTATATGGTTTACATCTTTTTGATCAATGCATCTAAGCAACATATCATTGTAAGAGATTCAGAACAAGATACTGTCACGACATACATATCGTGTGGCTGACCTTCTAATCTTATTACGTTTAATTGGGTTGTCAAGACACCGTTTGTGCTGCAAGTAATCCTTTATAGGTGTGTGCCAGTCTGTCACTGGCTCCACTACTGCACACAAGGGATCCTAAGATTCTGACTCTTCTCCTTCCTCTTTCTCTTTAATCACAAGAGGTTTTGCAGAATTGCTTGAGTCTTGCATGACCTTTCTAGCTGCAATTACTTCCCCGAATGGGTATGGAGGGCACTCCTCAAACAATTGCATCACGTCATCATTGTTAAGCTTTTTAACAAAAACGACACATCAGCTACCCATATTAGTGTTGGCTCTTTTAGTGCGATCTGCATAGTTTCCCTTAACTTGACGAGTGCGTCGGCTTGTGCATTAAGCCTTTGTAGTACATACTCAAGAACAACTTCTTCAAATTTTGCCATCAATGACTTGGCGGTATTGAAATAAGGCTTGAGGTTATCCTTCTGTACATCATATACTCCTTTGAGTTGCATGATGACCAACTCTGAATCTTCATAAATGATTAAGTATTTCAAGTTCATGTGGGAAGCAATCTCCAAGCCTATGATGAGTATTTGAAATTCTGCTTCATTATGGTACTTTATCACTAGGAGAGAGATTGATAGTGGGACAAGGTCATCACGAAGGGTGGAGAACACTACTCCAACACCACCTCTTTCAAACTGAAATGCCCCATCAAAGTGCATCTTCCAATCATACGAAGCTTTAGCAAGAAATAATTCTTCATTTGGCAAATTGTCAGATAAGGGAGAATCTGTTGGGAGAGGGTGTGCAACCAAGAAATCTGCAAAGGCATGACCTTTAACAGCTTTTTGCGGCACATATGTAATGTCCCCATGACGATTAACGACCATTTCGCAAGTCGACCAGAGAGACAGGGGCACGACAAGAGAAACTTAATGGGGTCAGCTCGAGAGATGAGCTGAACTAGGTATGCAAGCAAATAGTGTCTGAGTTCTGTACTGCAAAGATCAGAGCTAGAACATCTTTTTTATGGGAGAGTAGTTCTCTTTAGCTCATTGCATTCTTCGTTTCAGATAGTATAGAGTCGTCTCCTTTCTTTCATCATTATTTTGAGCCAGTAATGCACTGAGTGACTCATCCAATGCAATCACATATAATATGAGAGCTTTCCATGGAATTGGTGTAGAGAGAATAAGGGGTTTCAACAAATAGTTATTGATGTCTTCAAAATCCACTTGACATGCTTCGTCCCACTCAAAAGGCATGTCTTAGCTTTGATTTTGACAGGTTCGATCTGTAAGCCTCGTTATCTGATAATAAACCCTAAGAACTTTCATGTTCGCACACTAAATGCACACTTTAGGGATTCATCTTAAGTTGATGAAGACGAAGTTTTTCAAATACTTTTTCAAGATTCTGTATATGACTTCTCCTTTTATTGCACTTTACTACGAGGTCATCTACGTAGCATTCCACTTCTTCATGCAACGTATCTTCAAAGACACTGGTCATAGCCTTTTGATAGGTGGCTCCGATATTTTTGAGATCTAAAGGCATCACCTTATAACAGAAAACCCCTTTTGGAGTTAGTAAGGCAGTGGATTCTTCATCTTCAAGTGTCATCCTTATCTGGTTATACCCTGAATAACCATCCATAATGGAGAAGGCCTTGTCAATTGGTTGTCGAATCAATCAGTAGTTCAGTAAAGGAAAGTGGGAGACAAGTTGCATTCAAATCATGAAAGTCAATACATACCCTGATCTAACCATTGTTCTTCTTGACTGGCACAACATTAGCTAGCCATTTTGGGTATTTGACTTCTCTTATAAAATTTGTTGTCCCAAGCTTTCTAACCTCTGCTTCAATCTGTATTTCCAAGTCGGTTCGGAATCTCCTTGATTTTTGCTTGACAGACTTAAATGATGGGTCAATTCTCAACCTGTGAACTACAACCTGAGGTCATGACCAGGCATCTCTTGATAATGTCAGGCAAAGACATCTCGATTGTAAAATCCCGTATACTCCTCCTACTCTTTAGGAGACATAATAGTTGAGATGAAAGTGGGGTCGTGGGTTAGCATATCATCACCCAAGTTCACCTCTTCTAAGTTGTCAGTTGCAGCTTGACCACCATCTTCCAAAACCTCTGGTGCTTCTTCTATTACTTCTTCTTCAATGGGTAAATAATAAGAAGTTTGTTCATCTATTTCAAGCACTTCAACCTCGTGCTCTACAGGCAATGATCCTTTTTTTATCTTTTTCACTCCTGAACCCTCAGGTTCTTGAGAAGTTAGGGAAACTTCTACTTCTTCTTGAGACACCTGAAGAGTGACTTCTTCAGGGATGGGTTCAAAGGGAGATAGTGATGGTTCTTAAGATATCGTCACATGAGAGATTAGGTCAGTGAAGAATGGCCATGGAGGTAAACTAGCGTGCCCCAGGTAACTAAGGCCCTGCTTTTGAGTATGCTGAGACGTTGTGGTCTAATAACTACAAAGGGTGCCAGAATCCCTTTATTGTCATTTAACCCCCGATTTCTTGATGATTCATAGTCCATTTTCTTCATGATCTGATGAGCTTTAGGACTATAAAGATCCCATTTTGGTATTATTGCAGCATCTATAAAGGAATTACTCTGAGGATTCTCCTGAACACCCATGCCCCAGGTTTTTTGGGAGAAACCATATAGAGGAATAGAAGAAGGCTTTAGAAGTGCTTATTATACGTCATTTTTTACATACTTACATCTCCCACACGAATAAGGAGAGAGTCGGTAATAAATAGGTCCTGCTGGTACTAGAGACATTAACAGACCAAAGTTGTGACGTGAAATAAGTCTCGAACCAGGCAACCTGAGAAAAATGCTATCACATCAATGAGAGATTTTAAAACTATAGCCCTATGATAGTGGCTTCAAAACAGTACCAGACCACCACCATCGCATTTAGAATGTCGTAAAACCCCCAAGGACCAAATTTGGGCTCAATCGGACCACCCAGAAGGGGTCTACGCCCATACGGCCTTAAGACGAGTAGGTTTTACACTATCGTGGTGTAGCTTCACTTAACCAGTCCCCAAGCACGAAAACTGCAACATCGCATATCGAGATGGACTTCAATAACCCACAATACCTTCATATAGAACCATAAAAAGTTCAGACTTTGACATGTTCTAGATCACGCTAGCCTCGTCATTTTGACCTAGAGCATGCATTGTGGCGCCCAGAGTCAAACTTCTTCTAGAAAGAACGTGATCACAAAACCAAAAAAATAGTGTTTTAAGAAGAATACATCTCGAACCTCGTAAAGCACAACTCAAAATCCGTGCATACGATCATCGCGAAGACGAGTTCAATGCAACCACCTCACGAAGAGTTGCAAAATGATATAACTATTATACCTGATCCAAGGCCTGATAAGCGTAAATCCCTAACTTACTAGAACAACGGGCCCGCTCGGTCGCCGGAATCCTATTCCCTGGTGACCTCCCAAATTAGGAAATGTCACAAATGAATACCAAAACATACCAAACTTAGTGCAAAATGACTGTGAAAGTCTCCTCTTTCATATGAAAGCAAAACAAAGACTCAGAGCATCACATGTCGAATGGCATTAGCTATCGAAGTTCACGAATCTAGCCAGACTTCTACCACGTGGGAAAAGGCTGCTGTAGGATGACTAAAGGGCATCAAAATGCTCAGAATCGAACAAGCACTAAGGATATAACAACAAATCGGCTGAACCATCATTACAAGTCCACATAAAAGCTTCTAAGATCTGGCAATGGCGGGAGGACCCTCAAGCAGGGATGGTTTTATCATTAGCACAAAAGCTCTTAGGGGCATTTTCATCATTTCACCTAATTTTGGGATTTTATTTTAATTTATTTAATTATAATTAAGCTTTGTTTTTTTAGTATTCACCCCGGTTCGGTGAGTCCTCTATAAGTAAGCTTAAAGTACTTGTAAAAGGGCAGATTATTGAGCATTATTCATCACTAAAACATATGCATAACACTTGTTTCCACTTGTATTTTGCTTTTGAAACCCTAATCCTGCAGAGAGGAGAGAGAAAATATCCCCCTGAGTGTGCGGTCTTGTCCATTCCCCGAGAGAGAAGATATCTTTGAGCATACGGACCCATTCTCTTTCTTTATCAAGTCTGGTCACACTCTGAGCCCTCTCTCTCTTCTCCTTCATGCGTCGTCTACCCCAGGCAGCAGCCCGCATCTGCCAGAGACGCGTGGTCCTGAGAGAACCCGAGAGCCCCAAGCCTCGGGTTCCCTCACACACTCCTGTCAGCCAACCAACCCCCTCCAGCAGAGAACTGTCATAAGGAGGGATAATCGAGCCCCATTACAGCTGCACGTGAGAGAGAGAGAGAGAGAGACCTTTTGACTGCCTGAAGAGAGTCTCCGTCCAAACTGCGCTTGCTGACAGCTGGAGGGCTTCGTGATTGTTCTAAGATGGCGAACTGTCCGGAGTATCCCATGAACCTCAAATGGCGAGACAGACGTCTAAGCGCACCCACCTTAAAATCTCTCTCGTTGTTGGTTCCTATCCGCGCACAGGAGCGCCAGCGCATGTGCACCCACAAGTGCCCAGCACGCGTGGATCGCTGCGGTTATTTGAGAGAGGGTCTTCTGTCCGACGTGAAGACTAGGCCCCAACTAGGGCTACTTCCTTCACCTTAGCTTTTCCCTTTCTTATAGCTGCAACCTAATTGAGCAAATCTTGAACTTTCTCTTTCAATTCAGCAATAGTAGCTTGTCTTCAAACTTCATATTGTTGTTCGAAACTGCCGATGAAGTCATTGGAAGGGGAAGAGGGACTACACATCACATTTTGATGAGTAACCTAGGTCTCCATGACAAGGGTTGGGAAATGCAAGACCTTTTGAGAGTCAAGCATGTAACTGGCTTGGTCCGTGAGGTAAGCATTATCCTCCTCCCTTTCGGGGACTGGGATTTGCAAGAATTTAGGGTAACAATGTTAGTATGGGGCTGAAGAGGTGAGCTGAGCATTATTTTCCTCCCTTTCGGGGACTAGGATATGCAAGACCTCGGGGATTTTCATGACCTTGAAATGATCATGCTGAAGAGGGGTTTGAGGTATGAGGTGAGCATTGTCCTTCTCAATGTGCAAGACCTTTGGTATTTGCAATACTTTATGATGATTTTGTGTGTAGCTAACTTTGGGGGTAAGGTTAGCGTCATTCTCCTTTCTTAGAGGGACTGGAATATGCAAGATCTTTTGATAAGCTATTTAGTCAATCTCAACTTGATGTGCGACCTCAAATTTTATGAACGGAATGGGGATACGTAACACCTTTATGTCACCATGAGCATAAGTTGCTGTAGGTGCTAGAGTGTTCAAGTCAGTGGTTTCCTTCTTCTTGACTTGCTCAATTTAAGCCACCACTGGAGTGGGTTCTTGTGAAGGTGGGGTAGAGGATGAAGCTTCCTCTTTATGATCTTGGGTCATCACTTTTACTGGGGAAGTGGTTAAATTTTCATCAATGGGTGTCAAAGGAATCACTTTTCCTCTTGGAACATGTGATTAAGTGATCATGTTATATCTTCTACATCTTCATGATAGGTTTAAGCAGTCTCTCTCAGGTTAGGGTTCGTGATGGTTTTCATAGGCAACATTAGCTCCTGAGATCGCACTGGATCTGTAAAATAGTCCTTCGCATCAGCATAATATGACTCAGCACTGGGAAATTGCCTCTTATCAGCATAGACTGGGTATTGCCTTCCATCTCAGCTATATTTGAAGCACTGATGGAGTGTGGATGGAACTACCCTATGGTCATGTTGCCAGGGATGACTCAGAAGGATATTATACGAAGTGTCTGTCTCAATCACGTGAAACAGAGTGGAAGCATTCAA